ACAGACAACCCCGTAACAATATGCGTTTTGTACTGCTGTTACACAGCACAAAACGCATAATAACGTTCAGTTTCCCCACCACGTATGTTCACATGGAATTTGACGTAACCCGGCAATCAAGACAGCTTGAGTGCTTAAATTTCCTGACATGGCCACGACCGCGTTTGGGCAAACGCGCGTAAGAGGAACTTCACGTTTTCACTGGCGTGCGAACATGCGGAATTTGACGTGATTCTACAATAATAGCAGCTACACTGTCGGAATTTGTAGAGAATGGTCCTCGAAAGTGTTCGGGCAGGTGCACACAAAAAGAAACCTCCTGTTCATGTGGGATCTGACGTCATCCTGCAACCAAAGCAGTTGGATTGCTGGAATTTTTTGAACTCGGCCCGGGACCGTGTATGGGTAGGCACGCATGAAAGCAATACCCACGTCACTTTCACTTACGAACGTACGAAATTCGACGTAACCCCGCAACCAAAGCATCTATATTGCTGAATATTTTGAGCATAGCTACGACTGAGTTTACTGGAAGTCACTGTAGTGATTTCTTGCAGTCATGGTGACCATTCTCAGTTCTTTTAACTAAAAGCATCTGCCGGAAAAAACATTGCGAGAGAACTGCGCAAAAAGGCATCTTCGCACTGGTAGTCGGTGCACTGAGCAATTATTTTTCTTTTACCACTGAATGTTTATGTTCCTTGGTGGATCGTTTCAAATGCTTGTGTGAATTTGTGGAGCCTTAATTAGGAGAGGTATTTTGCTCTAGGTTGTACAAACCATTCTTGTTGATGTAATTGAGATGTAGTCACACAGTAAATGCAGTCAACGAAAAGAAGTTAACGAAGAGTCTGAGTTCATCTTTTAAAGTTACTCTTTCGACTGTTATTCATCGAAGATCTTTGTGAGGCGTTTAGCTTCAGTCTTATTAGTTTGGAGCAGCATGCAAACGTACCGTCATAAGTGCATAAAAAGATCGAAAATGTTCCGCGTATCGTCATTTTTTCTGGAACTTTTAATGATTTCTTGTTTCTTGGTGTTGGTGCACTATCGTGTTTCGATCATCCTGATGCTGGTTTTTACTGCGTTTTCGCATATTTATGCGAATGCCAAAACGCAAGAGGTTGTCGGTTTGTGTGTTCGAGTTTATTTCACCTGTATTTAACTCAGAGACCACAGAATTAGGAAGCTAAAATTTCACAAAGATGTTCCTGACCCATGTGGTACTCAAACAACTTTCACGTATGCCTGAGTCTCGCGTGCGGGAAATTGAAATAATTCGTACAAATTTTTTGGCGGGAAAGCGATTTCGGGAAGATAGAAAACTGAACCTTCCCCATTGATGTTTCATTTCCTTCTTAGAGCCAAAAATTTCAAATCCAGCTTTAATGCACGCTTGTGTCACGTATGCAGACACGTTGGCAGAATGCCAAATCGGGAGCTAATTTGATTGAAGCGCTCTAACTTCGCTAGAATACTTATTTTCCATAAATTGGTGTTAGGCGGAAAAGTGGTTTTGAATTTCGCTTGTTCTGCTTACTCGAAGATGTCAGAGATATTTCTAATAATAAGCGATTTCGCTAATCGCTCATGGCAGGAATCTGAAACTTTACGAGAATATGGGATGCCCATATGCGGCTGAAATATTTCAAATTCGACTTTAAAGCATGTCTAGGTCTCACGATGCATAGGCAGATTCATGACGGGCTGTCCGGGGTTGAGGGGCTACGGCGAATGGGGCTTTTGAAGAGGGGGAGGGAAGGCAGCAGCGGGCGGGAGGGGCGGGGAAGGGAGCCCATTCTGGAGCTATGCAGAAACTTGGAATAGGATTTGTAACACTGCTGGTTAGGGTTATTTTAGTTTTATTTATGAACAGACCCGGACTTTTGCAGCACTGGTGCCTGTGTCGCTGTGGGGGGGAGGGAGAAAATCGCAACACAGCAATCACACTACATTAATATGGACGACCTCTCCACAGAATGGAATCGTGCAAAACTCTTGACCACGCGAGCAAGCCTGCTGCGTTGCTACCTGAGCCTTCATTTTCTTGTGAGCATAATTTTGTTTGTATCGAAAATTTGTGAGTGATCCATGCAGTGCCAATTTTTTTTAGCAACTTTTGAATTCT